TCTATTTGTGTGACTATCTCTTATAAAACACAGGAGCATTCTTCAGAATTTTGATGTCACTATTCCCTTTCAAGTACTGTCTCCTTCGTTTTAATGTTTCATATAGCATATACAACTTACTAATAACACTCATCGTTCCTGGGGCTTGATACATGCCAGGCTCCATTCTCATCTTCTTATTAAGGAAGGCAGGACTTGAACCCAAGGCAGACTGGCTCCTCCATGCTAACCAGGCCCTAACACCCAGCTCGCTCATCTATATCCATCTGCAAGACGATAGCTGCTGCTCCAGGGGAGATGAGTCAAAACACGCAACAGCAAGGTGTGCAGAAGCCTGGCTGTGGAGGGTGAAGCTCCGTGTGGCCTACTGGTCTCCAAAGGGCGGCACCCTGGGGCCAGGGAGTAGCCCCACCAGCATGAGGCCGCCCAGAACCGCCCCCTGCCCTGGGCTGCCCCACACAGCTGCTGGGTGCCCACTGTACCTGCCAGGAGTATTTCCGGGACATCAAAAGGCAGTGGCATTAGCTTTCCTAAGCAATGGGAAAATAAACACCTCCTCAACCTGTTGCTCCCATTCTATTTTGCAACACAGAAATGACTGCTTTCAACTCGAGCCAAAAATGATCTCCTGAGTCATGAGGGCTACTTTCTGAGCGATGCCCTTACTCTGTGCCTGTCCTAACAGGAAAAACGACCCGGGGAGAGTCAGCCAGCCTCTCGGGGGGCCTAGCCCCAGGCACATGCTACAGCCATCAAGAAATAAAATAAATAATGAAGCTGAACAAGGAACAGATTTGCTTTTCAAAAGGTCATTTTGAAAAGAATCTAAAGATGAAATTTTCAAAATCCACAAAATTGAAGGCAGTTAAAACTATTATGTAGTCAATCTTGTGCAAGGTGAATGTTTCTGAAATACTGGTCTGCTGAATTCTCAAGTTTCATATTCTTCAGGTTTGGTAGTTAACCGGTTTTCTCAAAGTCTTTTATAATGAGATTTTATGATTAAAAAATGTATTTAACTCGTTTTCTTAAAAAAAAAAATCAGAATCTTCTTGAAGAGTCCTGGCTTCTGAAGAAGCCTGTCAGGAGTGCAGTTGCCGGAGGGCGGCGTACCCATAGACACCATCTGGAGACAGGATTTTCGGCAGTTCCACACAGGAGGTGACTTGTTTGGCATCTGTTCCCTTTCAGTCCATCAGGACACCGCAAGCAGGAGAGGTCGCAGCAGACACTGCTTTTGGGTATCCAGAGAGTCCCCAGGTGTGACCGGCAGAAGCTCTCTCAGGAATCCTGATTCATGATTTCCCTCCCGCCTGCAACGTGGCTATCTGCTGACATCCAGCTCGCCCCTGCCTTACAGAACGGTGGGATCCAAAAATGCCAGGCATTCTGAGTTACAGAGTTTCCTTAGATTTGTCCTTTGGTAGGGAATTTCGGGTGGGGCGGTGGGGAGGCGACAGGTAACACTCCGTCACCTTGCACACACAGCCACCTTCTCAGACAGGTGACCCCATCAACAATGAGTCACCAAGGCTGTGACAAAGGACCTGAGAGATGATGGACTTAGTGGTGGCAGCAGGGAAAGGAGAGGGAGGAGTCTCAGATGTTGGCCGCTTAATTATGACCGGAGAGCATTTCCACATCCCTCCCCTCAAAGTTGTCTGGGGTTGACTAGATGGAGAAGAGCTCTCTGAGTCAGCTCTGACCCGGCCTGTGTCTGCAATCGCCTGCTCATATCTTTTTATCTCCTTCATGACAAGGAGTCAAAGAAAGCTCGACTGAAAATCCCTTCGCTGTAAAATTGAGGGCATCGTCAAATAACTGTGAAGTCAATATTTAGTGGTAGGTCCGTTTAAAATGTCACACTTTGGAAATGTCTTAATGTGGCCCTTGGGAAGCAGGCGGAAGAGTGCCTGGGTGCGGGCTATTACCTCGTCAGCCCGTATCTCCGCTGAGACCAGCTTAAGAGTGGGCTATTTTGCTCTGTCCTACGTGTGCTGGGGGTGATGGGGGGGCCGGGGGCGTTGCAGAGCCAGGAAAGGAAAGAAGACAGGAGAGAAGAGAAAAAGAAGAGATACATACGGTTATTAAGGATCCTTGAAAGCCCAACTTCCTTTGTTTTGTTAGTTGTTTACATCTCCCTTCCCCTCACCCCCTCATCTTTCCTGTTGTTTAGTTTCTGGTGAGGCCAGTGAGCTGCCCTGGAAAAAGGGGAATCTGAGACTATAGCTAGGGAGGCTGGAGGGGAGGCCGTGGGGCAGATAGGGTGCCCTGGCATGGGTCCAAGGAGGTTTATGTTCCTTTGACAGATTCACCGTGCCTCAGTTTCCCCACCCTAGAGGTGGTAAGGTCAGTCCCCTCCTGCCCCACATGGCACGTTTCTGACAAACCCACCTGAGGTCTACGCTCAGAGTGGAAAATTATCAAGAGCCGATGGTGCCAGGTGTGTGGGATCCCCCTCCAGAACATGAAGAGATAAGAAGGATGGGTGTGGGGGTCAGAGGGAACAAGATGGCTGGGCTGAGGCTCATTTATGAAGTTTGGGTGCGTCAGGCGGTACCGTCTCTGGGCTAATGCGGAGACCTCTCGGTCCCCTACCCTAGTGCCTTCTCCTCACTCACCACCAGCAGAGCCTTCTGGATCATAACACTGATGCTTTTCAACACCCAAGTTAATTAAGGCTTCTTAGCAAGGAAGCTCTATTTCCTCCAAATTCAGCTTCAGAATGCTCTAGAAATTCCCATCACTCCTTCTGGGTCTTTGACATTATATTTCATAAAAATCTCAAACTAGTTTCCATGAAGCCTGTCCAGCAAATCCACATGTGAGCCCCGCAAGGGAAATCATTCTCCCAACTTCTCCCCAGAGTTCCCAAAGATCATTCTGGTTTTTTTTTCCCCCCTTTCACATCATTCCATGCTTAAAAGCATCATCTAATGAGCAAATGCATATGGAGGCAATGCTCTGAGAGACACCCCGCAGTGACAGTCAGCTGATTAAAAGCAAAATGACAGATTTGTAACCAATGACACAATCTGGTGCCGAATGTTATTAGCACGTGCACGCACCCCACACTATGCTCTGTGCAACACGGCAAGAAACGGAAATTAGTTGAAATGGCTGGATCATGCAATTATTGGGAAAAGAAGCTGCGGGGGAGAATAAAAAAGGGTGAATACCTGTGCAGGTCATAGCTTCCTCCATCTTTATTTCCTGACATAGGAAAATACAAGAGTAATTTACGTTAGCTTTAGAACTCATAACACCATTCACTACGTAGTTTTCCATGCACAACGTCTAAATCCTAGAGAGAAACAGATTGTGTTAAATGCAGACAGGGCTGGAGTCCCACAGGACTTTTCTAGTAGACGGGTTCAAAATGAAGTTATAAATAAAAAGGTCTGAGATAAAAATGCAGAGGAGTTCATTTGAGACATGAGCGAAATGGGAAGGGAGGAGAGCCCGTTTAAGAGCAGGAAGAGAAGTCCTTCCAGTCTCAGTACAATGCTGGTTATTTTGAGACAAAACACTTGGGGGAAAAAAAAAGGGCCAATGGTCATCTCCCTGAGGAATTGTCTAGAAGGTGGAGAGGACTACTTTGGGCCGAACAGCAATCATGGGCTCTCCCCCACGCCCGGGTGTGTCATCCCATCAAGGGACTGTCAGACTTCTCTGGCAGTTCCGTCACCACCTGTAAGAGAGCTAGGTCTTTTGGGGGAGAAATGTCTGGGTGTCATATTTCTGTTGCTTCTAATAACTGCTTTAATTTCTAGGCCTTACTGGGCTTTTTTCCCCCCTCTCCTCTTCTTGGTGTATGGAGGGCTATGGTGTAAGGAAAAGCTCAAACAGAGAATCAAGGATATCTGGAAAGATTTGAGCTCAGTGGGGTTGTGACCAAAAGACCTCTTTTGCAAATCAGGATTGGACTTTTCTGCTGGCCATTCATCTGAGTAAGGTGTTAATGAAGAAGGATTGGCTGATGGCTGTGAGGTGACCCCCTCACAGGATTTATAATTTCCTAAGGGACCTTCAAAGCTTGAAAGCCTCAGGACCCTACAATGGTGGAAATGACCGGTTGTGGACATTGATCCTCTGGGGATGGGCACTCCCCCCTTCCCGGTCACATGACCCAGGACTGGCTGTTGCATACAAGGGGTTCCTGCAAAGTGTTCCCCCTGCCTGGGCACCCTGCACTTTGCCCTTTTGGGGTTGGCGGGCCCTACTGACACGCACGCCCTTGCCAATGCCAGCTCCTTCTCCTTCCTTCCGTGGACCGCTGGAATTTATAGTTCTACCAGAATTAAGAGGAAATCGTATTACCATCAACTAGGAAAGGGCGGGGACAGACTGAAAAGATCTGCAGCTCTATGAAACAAAGCGATAATTAAGTTTAACACAGCAGCCCAGAGAGGGGACATCTGGCTGATTCCATATGGGCCCTCCAACGCTGTTAGAGCCCCAGAGAGTGCATTACTTAAGTATCTCTGGTTTCAGAGGGAAAATCCTGGGAAAAGAAATCTAATTCCCCGTGTTCCAGGCAGGGATTCCCCTGGGGCAGCTCCCAGCTGTGGGATAGGCAGAAACAAGGCACTGGGTGTTTCCGTCCAAATTCACCTAAAAATTTGAGGATATCCCAGTTTGCCTTGAGTCTGTATTATGTCTGTTGACAGCAAGAACAGATAAATCCCCCAAGCTTTCAACCCACCTGCCCCAGCGGATGCTTCGTTCAGGAGGATTCACTAGGAGAACCGATGTGTGCGAGAAACTAGAATGAAACGCTCACCCAATCTTTGGGCGCATTAGCTGTTTCATTAATGCTCTCAGAGGTAAACTTAGAGAACACATTATATTTGGAATTGCCTGGCAAGCCTCCCGTATAAGTATCCCAAACTCTCTGCGTCTATGCCTGGAGACACTTCACAGGCAGAAAACCCAACAACACAAAGAATTTCCCAGAAAATACAGGAAAAAAAAAAAAAAAACCCTTATTCCCCTCTTACCAACTTCTGGGCCCTTCGGTCTTGGGTTGCACTGCTTGTACCCTTGACAGCTCCTGAGCTCCATGAGTTGTACGTGCAGCTGATTCAAAATACCCCGCTCCACCGTGTGCACGGTGTTGGTGAGCTGCGGACGAAGAGGCCAGGACGGGAGGGGTAAGCTCAGGTTCCGGCTAGTTTACTGTCAACAGCTGTTATCCCACGAAAACATACTGACTTACCTGATAAGGATCTGTATTCATATCAAAATACTCCAAAAAGCCAGTGGCGAACTCACAGAAAAGAAAATTATGCGTCTCGTTGACAGTCCGCAAACACCAGTAGGTGTTGTTGTTAGAACTCGTGCAGGCACAGAATGATCCCACTGTTGGTAAACACAGAACAGTGAAATGAAAAGAATGAAACAACAACAATGAAAATGGAGGCAGGCTAGTCATTCTAACATTTCCTTATCTTTATACTGCAAGGGGCACATTTTCTGTCTTGTAACTATTATGTGGTTGGATGTTAAAAAAAATTATACTTTCCCCCTCCCTAAACAATTTGCCGTGGGAACAGGTGGAAAATGGGGAAAACAGTGGCCATCTATGATCGTGAATATAGACTTCAGGCCAACGTGAAGTTTTCGGTACGTTCATTTGCCCTCCACCGTCAGGCAGTGGTTTCTGAAATAAGGGTGAGCGAATGGAGAATGGGGTTATTTTTATCTTTTACTGGTTATTTAAGATCTTCTCTTAAAAAAGGAAAAAAAAGTTACATAGTACAGAGAAGGACGTTGTGCCCTTGCTTGTTCTCTGCATCATGATCACACTCACAAATGGTACGCAGAAAGGGGATTATTTTGATCATTGTAGACAACTTTTTTTTTTTTAAGATTTATTTATTTGAGAGAGAGAGCATGCACTCACGCATGCATGGGTGGAGGGGAAGAGGGAGAGAGAGAGAATCTCAAGCAGACTCCCAGCTCGGTGCAGACCCCAACTTGGGTTCAGTCTCACGACCCAGAGATCATGACCTGAGCTGAAACCAAGAGTGGGGTGCTTAACTAACTGCGTCACCCAGGTGCCCCAACAATTTTTAACATGAAACAGGCTATGACTATGAACACGTTACGTACCACGCAGAGGTTCACTGGTTAACTGGTGGAAAGTATGCAAAACAGATGTCAAATTAAAACAAAACAAAACAAACTACTTGGTCTTCTTTTATAGAAAGGCAGTTTCCAAATTTGTTGACCTTTCTTACAATGATAATTGCATTTTAAAAATCTGCTGTCCAGCAAATATTTTTTTTGGGATAGGTACACTTAATGAGCATTCACTGTCCATTATGTACTTTGCATTTATTAACTCATTTAATCTTTTTTTTTAAAGATTTATTTATTTATTTATTTGAGGGAGAGAGTGAGCATGAGAGGGGGGAGGGTCAGAGGGAGAAGCAGACTCCCTGATGAGCAAGGAGACCGATGAGGGACTCGATCCCAGGACACTGGGATCATGACCTGAGTTAAAGGCAGATGCTTAACTGACTGAGCCATGCAGGTGTCCCTAGAGGGGATACTCCTACGACTACATACTACTTAACCCCCATCCAGTATCTTTTTTTTTTTTTTTTAAGATTCTATTTATTTGAGAAAGAGAGAGGGAGAAGCAGACTTCCTGCTGATCAGAGAGCCCAACCTGGGGCTCCATCCCAGGACTCTGGGATCACAACCTGAACTGAAGGCAGATGCTTAACCAATTGAGCCACTCAGGCACCTCCCCCCACCCCCCCAGCATCCAATATTAAACACACTATCTCCTCAAGCTGAAAAAGAGGTTTTAAACAACGAATGAGAAATGATTTTTCCCCAATTTTATTTTAATAGACTTTTTAGGGCATAAAAAGGTTCACAACAAAACTGAGCAGAAGGCACAGAGAATTTCTGGAGAGAACCCCATCCCCATGATGCCCAACCTTCCCCACCAGCAACATCCCTCACAACAGTGGTGCATCTGTGACAACTGATGAACCGACATTGACATGTCATCACCCAAGGTCCATAGTCTGCATTAGGGTTCGCTCTTGGTGTTGTGTGTTCTATGGGCTTTGACCAATGTATAATGCCATGTACCCACTAGTCTAGTGTCACACAAAGCAGTTTCCCTGCCCTAAATGTCCCCCTTGTTCCATCTATTCATCCTTGCCCCGCAGAAACGATTTTTCAGGCTGCTGTGCCTCTGGTGCCCCAGCCTGGATCTTGGTGGAGGACGGACCCCTGCAACCTGAATGACCCTCAGAGATCCTCACACCCCAGTTTAGGGAACGAGAGTAAACATTAAATGCTATGAGTCTAAGACTTCACTTGGCCTCAATATGGCTGGAAATGAAAATGCAAACTTAGACACTGAAATAAAAAAGCATCAAAATGGAAAGATAAAACAAAAATCCTCAGAGATAGGACCGGGTTCTGGGGTTCCTGGGGTCTCCAAATCCTACTTTGAGAAACATTGACCCAGGTGGTTCCTGGGCTCTTTTCAAGGAGAAGGTCTGCAGTGTTAGCTACTTCCCGGGATGGTACGCCTTCAATCAGATGATGTGTCACAAAAATTGAGGGCACTATTTCTAGATGACCTCTGTCAATACTGTGCCTAGGCCACTAAAGCATTGTAAGTGTGAATTTTAAAAGTTTACAATCGCTGGGGCACCTGGGTGACTCAGTTGGTTAAGTGTCCAGCTCTTGATTTTGGCTCAGGTCAAGATCTCAGGATCGTGAGTTTGAGTCCCGCATTGCCTCTGTGTTGGGTGTGGAGCCTGTTTAAGATTCTCTCTCTTCCTCTCCCTCTGCCCTCCTACTCCTCACTCCTGCTAGTGTGCCCTCTCTCCAAAAAAAAAAAAAAAAAAAAAAAAAGTGCACATTGTTATTATTCATATCATCAGCAATTCCATGTAAAACCATATATTTTCTAAAGTCCCTATTCTTCTGTGGGCATAGTGCTAGGTACTAAAGAGGACTGAGATTTCGAATAGAGACCCTACATTGAAGGGGTTTTCCCTTCCTTTTATTACACTTAGAATATGACATGAAATAAAACAGAAATAAAATGTATTCAAGGCAAGACTGTCCATCCATTTAGCTATTTGGTAACAGATATGACTAAACCCAGCCTTACTGGGTAGGAACTCTGCCTAGAGGTGGGCAGTATGTGAAGTAACACCATCAGGAGACACACCCAGGGCGAGCATGGTATTTTCAAATAAAATATGGAAACTAAAAGTTTTCTATGAAAATAAAATATTATACAACTTGAAAAAAAATAAAATATGGAAACTGATTTCCAAAGAAAATAGTAATTTTCGGCAAGATCATTCTAGTTGCCAGTACAGAAAATAATATGATGGTCTCCTCTTGAATCATTCTAGATCCCTGGTTTCAGGCTGCTGAAGCCCTCATTTTAGTAACTGTCGTGTGAGTCGGTGTCTCTCCGCACGGCGGCAGTTAGCAGCAACTCAGATGGTGTGACGGATGTGAACTGAACTTACTGTGGTCATCATGTGGCAACACACAGAAGTCAGGTCATTATGCCATACACCTTAAACTTGGAAGATGCTGTGTGTCAATTATAGCTCAATAAAACTGGGGAAAAGAATGACTTTTTTTTTTTTAAGATCTTATTTATTTATTTGACAGAGAGGGAGAGAGAGATCACAAGTAGCAGAGAAAGAAGGAAGCAGGCTCCCCGCCAAGCAGAGAGCCCGATGCGGGGCTCGATCCCAGGACCCTGAGATCATGACCTGAGCTGAAGGCAGAGGCTTAACCCACTGAACCACCCAGGAGCCCCAAGAATTACTTTTTAAAAAGATTTTATGTATTTTTTTAGAGAGCATGAGTGGGGGGGAGGGGCAGAGGGAGAGGGAGAGTCATGAGCAGACTCCATGCTGAGCGAGGAGCTCCATGTGGGGCTCGATCTCACGACCCTGAGATCATGACCTGAGCCAAAACCAAGAGTCAACACTTAACCAATAAAGCTGCCCAGGTGCCACAAAACTGGGGAATATATTTCTAAAAACCAAAAACCAAAAACCAAAAAAACCTGAAACCAAAACCATGCAACACTTACAGTTCCAGAATGGGGCCGTCTGCCAGTGGTTGTTGTCGTGGGTAAAGCAGGTGAGGCCAGGCAGGCTGCATTCCTCCCCCTTCCTCTGGCGTTTCTTCTCCTTCCTCTCCTTCTTCCTCCTGCGGTTCTCCTTGAAAAGCTGCAGTTTGCTGTCTACTTCCTGAGCAGCTTCCCTGTTCCAGTAGAAGGGATGCGTTTGGGATCAGAAAGGACTTGCCTGACTAAAAATATTATCGTCCTTATGAACCTCACACAAAGAGGCAGACACACAATAATGGATGACTTTTCTTTTTCACAGAGGACCTCGAACTATAATAGGCAAGAGTGAAGACAAACTCATTAAGTGACAACTCTCTTAGAATTTTACTGAGCTTGAAAGGATCAACATTTTCTTTCTTATTTACATGGAAACACTGGTGGAAAGGAATGTCAGTGTGAATCCATAGATCCCGCTGGCCACAGCATTTGGACAAATGGCTTAACTCCGTGGGGACTCGGGACTCATTGGCCATAAAGTCCATGGTTAGTGGGATTAGATGGCTTGGAAAGAATTTCCTTTTGCTATTATTTTGCTTTTTTTTTTTTTTTCCATAAAGCACTCAACTTTTGTTGAGGCTCAATCCTAAATCCCCTTCATGAGCACATTTTACTGTTATTTAAAAAAATGTGTATTTCTCCCAACTTTCAGAATTCAGCACAATTGCAGACCACTCTGTGGAACGCACCATCCTATTCAAGATGGTTCCATTTCCCAATCACTGTCCAGAGGAAGCAGTGCATAGAATAAAATCCAGGTACCACCTCACAGACGGTTGGAAAACACACTCAGAATTAGAGTAGAATTCCTTGTGGTTCCCCCTCAAAGGATTCCAAAAGCATCCCTGTGGTCTCTTGGCAAGGTATGGGCTTTGTTTCCAACTTCTTGGGCTCTGGGCCCTCCTGACTAAATCTGCTTGCTAGCGAGCAGCACTACGTGGAACATAGGGGCCCCTACTATGTTTCAGAAGTGCCCAGTGTACAGTCCTCCACTCCCAGCAAATGCAGAAAACAGAGACTCACTTACTTGAATGGGTGGAGATGACTCTTCACCTTCTCTTGCTTTTTTACACCTTTCTCTTTATTATAGTAGCTACGGGCAAGAAGATTGAAGAGTGAGTCTTCGTAGTCTCACATTCGATCAGACAGTTCATTTTATTGTATTTTTAAATATTTTATTTACTTATTTACTTGAAAGAGAGAGAGAGAGGGAAAGCTGAGCAGGAGGGAGGGGCAGAGAGAGAGAGGCAGGCTCCATGCTGAGCAAGGAGCCCAGCATGGGGCTTGATCCTGAGACCCTGGGATCATGACCGGAGCTGAAGACAATTGCTCAATCAACTGAGCCACCCAGGGGTCCCTTAAAAAAAAGAAAACAACAACAACAACAACAACAACAAAAAGCAGAAGTGAAAGAAAGTGGTTACTTTAACGATCTTAGCTTAATAGGGCCTTTTTATCCTTCGGCTTAGATTTATGACATATTTCATTTAACCTAAGGAGTTTAGGTCATTACAGTATATGGTAACAAATTCAATTTATAAAGCTTTCTATTGGCATAAGAGAGAAAGAAGCCCAGTTCTTATCCCTGGAGCTTGTGGAAACACACGTTTGGAAGCAAGACCGCCAGGGGGCTGCACTCACCTCTGTTTACCACAGGCACATTCCTCTGGTTTTCTCCTTTTTAGGTGTCCTCTCACTTCTCTTAAATTCTTAATTTTGTCTTGCAAGGCTTCAATCTGGAAGACACGTATTTGAACAATGACATCTGAAGATCAGGATTTCCTGCGCCGAGTGCCCCTCTTTTCACCTCGTTTTTTGTGTTCCATAATTCCGGCTATCCCCTGAGATGGTAATTAACTTAGAAACAAACTGGGCACAGAGTATGTCTACCACGATGTTCCCGCTGGTCATGATGATCACGACTAGATGATCTTCGGGTCCTCCCGCTGATGTTCCCACTGAGACAAACGTGAGCAGGTGCCTTGCTTACGACTGGATCATTTCCTCGAGGAGATTTCAACAGGTCCTCGAGCCAACCCCCACGGTTTCCTCACACCCTATTTTGTTTTCAGACAGGATGATCACTATATCCCCAGGGAAAGATAAATACTTCGCTACGCTATTTTTCACGTAGTTGTCATTGTAAAAAAAAAAAAATCATAAATAAAATAAATGAAGTGGACACACATGGAGCCCCACCGGCCGCCATGGAGCTGGTGCGCCGGGTTTGCCTTTGGACTACACCTTCCAATCACACAGCCGTGGCTAACCTCTTTATCAATGTACGCCTTGTGGTCCTTCCAGGCTCTGGCCGATTGATACAGTTCTCTCTCACAGTGGATTGTATCATTTGGGAGAATAAAGCACCTGCAAAAACAAACAAACCCAGAACATTAGAAATAGGTTTATAAGCTAATCTGCATTTAAAAAAAAACCCATTAGAAATAGCAAAGGGAACAACATTGTCTTCTAAACTCTTAATTTGGAGGCAAGCAGTAGTTTGAAGCTGAGCCATAGACAAGGATACGTGGGAATGTCTCCTGGACACCCGGGTGGGGAAAGGATGGTGTCAGAGAGAGACCCTTACTGAGATCCCCTTTTACAGCAACGTTCAGTATTCATGTCTGCAAGAACAGCGACCACCGGAAAACTCCAGATTTGAAAGCCTTGTCAACTACGTAGGAAACAGGCAGGTTTCCACAGTTATAATGGAAGCAAGTTGTCTGACTGAAGAAATGCAGAGTTAGAAGGGGTTATTATCCTATTCATTTTGTTACAAAGACCCTGCCTCAAGTACCTCATTCAGTTTGAAGCAAAGAAATAACCCTATGGCAGAGAAATATTGGGATAAGGGGTTGATCGGTACTGAAAGAGAAACAAATCCTGGTCTGAATCTCCTAGCATGTAATTCTAAACAACTACAGTTGACCTTGGAATGACATAGGCTGGAACAGCACAGGTTGACTTATAAGTAGTTTTTTTTTTTTTTTAAATGAGCACAATCCAGAGCTGTAAACATATTTTCTCCTCCCTCTTCCTTATGATTTTAACAACACTGTTTTCTCTAACTTATACTACGGTAAGAATATAGTATATGATACATATGAAATAAGTGTTAATTGACTGTTTATGTCATTGTTAAGGCTTCTGGTCAACTGTAAGCCACTAGCAGTTAAGTTTCTGGGGAGTCAAAAGTTATAAGTGGATTTTCAACTGTGGAATAGGGGGAGGGTCTGTGTTCCCAATCCCTGTCTTGTTCAAGGTCAACTGCACAGGCACGGGAAGACCAGTCCCAAAGATAAAAATCCTGCCAGAGCTCGTAATACCGGGCCTCCCCAAAGTGATAGAATGAGAAAGAAAAAAACCCTGGCTACTAAATTCAGAAAGAAAATTTTTCTCTCTCATGAGAGTAACGATTCTAGAAGGAAATGGAGAACCGAGGTGGTGCATTACAGCTGTGGGATAATCGTCTCCTTCCCTGTCTCTATGATTCCTGAGGCCCTCCCTGCCCTCTGGGATCCTCCCTGGTTAATTAGGTGTTTCGGCATCTTACCTCCATTCCCACCACATCCCACCTCTCCAGAAGCTTCTCCTGGACTCTCAGTCCTCCTTTGGGGTATGAATGTACAGCTCCTCTGAGCCTCTACAGTGCCAGTCTTGGTTTCCATCTGTTTCCTAGACTCCCATAAAGGTAACTGTTCAAGGGCAGAGATCCATGACTGCTAAGTTAAGATGTGATAGAACCGCTTTGGCTAAATTCCCAGCAGATCAGCCTTCATGTGAAACTGAACCGAAAGCATGTGTCCAAATGTATGACTGTTTGGACACCCCCTTGCTTCTTTAAACTCCAGTTGTTCTGTGGGCCAACCTCTGGACCCTGTACAGCCGAGCAATATCACTTTTTATGAAGAAGCAAAAGAGTGGGGTGCCTGGGTGGCTCAGTGGGTTAAGCCTCTGCCTTCGACTCAGGTCATGGTCTCAGGGTCCTGGGATCGAGTCCCACATTGGGGTCTCTGCTCAGTGGGGAGCCTGCTTCCCCACCCCCCCGCCTACCTCTCTGCCTATTTGTGATTTCTCTTTCTGTCAAATAAATAAAAATCTTTAATAATAATAAAAAAAAAAGAAGCAAGACAGTGATAATGGAGAGGGGAGGATGACTGGGAACTCAGCCCCTGAGAACACCTAAAGCCTTCCTACTTGTGAGTCACTCGGACAGTGGTGGGCAGGCCCAGGGCATTGTCTCTGTCTGCCAGCATTGCGTCCCCGTCGCCGGCAGCCTGGGGACCTCCAGGCCCCCTGTGGCCTTCATCGTGGCGCTTGGCAATGTTTCTGGGTCGTAACACTTGCAATTCCTCTTCTTCCAGGTTTATGTCATATATTTCGCCTTCAAATTCGACGGATAAGGAACGTGTTTGCCGAGTATGGACAAATCTGGGCTTGTACTCTGGAAATAAGGGAATACACATTAACATGGGCTCTTGTCTGGGCTTGGGCGCTGCATAGCAGTGGATGGATGGCACGCTCCCCTGGCCTTAGCCCTTCGTCCCTCCAGTGGAGAAGGGGGTGCGTCTAAGTTCCTTTCCACTCACAGCAAGCTGTGAACTTCCGTACTGCGTTTTCAACGTGAACTGCTAAGGCAGTTTGTTTGCATAAATCTCTATTCCCAATTATGGTATTAATCATAATACTGACTCTTATTGACTGGGCCTTTGCTATATATTATTCAGTTCATATTTATCTCTAATCCACAATCTTGGAAGACCTGTATTATTATAATAAATCCTTATATTAAGAAAAAACTTAATAGATTGCCAGAACAGACTCATAAATTTGGTGTGATGATTCTTACGGATGGGAAAACTGAAGCTCTGAATGCTGCTTACATTTTACAAGGGTATGGAGCCAAGAGCTGTGGGAGCCAGGGCTCTAATCTACCAGATTCTAAAGGCCACAGTCTTTCTACAACACTGGGCTGCTTTTACAAAAGGGTACATGTTCTTGACACCTTCTATTTGAAGGTGTCAAATAGATAAAAAAATAGAGAAAAATTAAATTTTGCAAATGCTTTTATCAGGCAGCTGACTTTTAATACCTGGCAGATGGAGGGCAATGCCAGGGGTAGGCCAGCATGGTTTCTGGTCTGTAGACGTGGTCAAGGCTCATAGTGTGCTAGACACAGGCTTTAATGCATAAACCTTGGCCCCTCCTTACCAGATGAACTTTGGCTCTGAGGGGACATACTCATGCGGCCCTCTTTCTCCAGCCTGCTGCTAAAATAGGAAAAAGAGAACACCCAGGCCATGGACTCAGAATGGCACTTGCCACAGGATCCCGCCATGATGGCAGTTTCCAGAGGAGGAAACGCCTCTGTGACAGTCAGCAGGGCACGGAGTGTGCTCATGAGCAACTCCTGTCCTCAAATAGGTGAGATTCTACATGGTTTGAAAGAACGGCCCCAGGCATCTCCATTTGTGTTCAACGTCGGACAAAATCAGTGTTCGTGGTCACTGCTGTGGAGGCTGCCCCTTCCGGCTTTCCGTTTGATATCTTTGTGTAAATGATTAAACCTGGCATTTTCTCTTAGGGAGGAAAAAAGATCTCTTAAATCAATCATTCTTAGCCTTTGGGTTAGGGATTCGTTTAAGAATATGTTGAAAGTTAGGGACATCCAGAAAAATGTGCACATATATACAGAATAGACTTATTATTTTGGATAAAATGTTAGAAGGCTCACGATCCCTTAAAATCCATCTGTGAGGTCTAGGATTAAAAAGCCAGCGCTAAGAGCCTCTATTGTTCTAGTGATTGATTTCCTAATTTACAATGAGGGGGACACCTGGCTGTCTCAGTCGGTAGAGCACACGACTCTTGATCTTGGGGTCGTGAGTTCAAACCCCACGTTGTGTGTATAGCCTACTTAAAACAACAACACAGAAAATGTATTTTACTCATTTCCAAACCAATATGGAAAAGAATTGCCACAGAAATGAGTCACTTTTCCTAATATGCCACTAGATGGCACTAGACTCTCATTCTTTTAGGGAAGGGTCCAGACTGGGTTTTCACATCTGTATAATCACAGGAATTTCATAGTTGCCTGATAGAATTTTTATAAAGAAAATGCTAGGCAGTGCTTTTCATGCTGAATTTGACTAGTTTGACCCTGCCAGTCAACCAGAACTAAAAAAAAAAAAAAAGATACTGTCCTACAACAGATGTACCTTTAAAAAAAGTATTTATATTTTTCTTATTAAATCTATAAGCAATGAAACTTCGAATTATTTTCCTCCTTTTTTTTTTTTAAGAACAGCTCAAGGCAGACAAATCAGGACATTAGTATTCATGTAAACTAAAACTGACCTAAACTATACCCTCTGCTCCTCCCCACACCTGTTACCCCTTTTTAGCTCTTTTAGGTGTGTGTATAGTTTGTGTCTAGTACTTTTACTGAATATATTTTCATTCTATGCTTAAGTTAAAATGTCCACAAACCCCAGATTTCAACTTAGCTTCGCTCTTCTAAACAGAACAATTCTTTGCTTTTGGCGCTAAACCTCTGAATGGATAAGATCTCAAACGTAGACGGAGCAAGCCTTTCTCGTCTCCCTGTTGTCCATCGGCAGAGCACTCTGCCTTCCCCTGAGAGGGCCCCCCGCGCGAAGCTTACTGGGGGTCCCCTGGTTTCTCAGGAACTGCCTTTGACTCTTCCTCTGGCTTCTGCCTCCACGATAGCTGGACTCTCCGCAGCTGCATTCTTTGTCCTTGTCCGGGAAGCCGCGAGCGTAGAGGTTCCGCGTGCTGTGCTGGACCGTTAGCAGGTCCCCGGATCCTTTACACTTGTGAATTCGAAGCTTGCCAGATGTGTCCTCAATGCACTGCCACTTCTGCAAAAGCCAATGTGAAAGCGGGTTACCCATCCCGCTCCAGGTGTTTCTGATTAAGGACGGCTGCCTTAGGTTTGGGGCAGCATGAGAAACCCCTTTAAGGAGAGCCAAGCAAGAAAGGCAAGCTTCTAGCTGAGACTGCCATTCAGTCCATACCCCGCTAACCCCGGTTCTCTTAGCTCTTTCTCTCACTGTAGGCAACTGCGGATGACAATGAAATCACTGGAAATCAGAACCACCTCCGTGACACTAGAGCCAAAAATTGATATATAAATCCCCGGTATCCAGACTAAACAGAGTCTTGAATGAAACATGTAAAAGCCCTTAATTCGCCAAGCCACAGAACCCAGCTGTCAGGGCTGTTTTTGCCAGACCCCTCTTTCTCTGGAGAAACACACTTGGCTGCTTTGTTCTCGGGCCCCCGAGTTTCTGCCTCAAACCGTGGAAGACAGAGATGAGTTTAATCAGAGTCTACATGGAGCAAGTGGACCAGCTTTCACACGGCATGAGCCAGCGTGTCAGGTCTTCTCTGGGCCTCTTCTTAGCCTTCTACAGACACTGCACACCCGGCAGAGTGAGCTGCTTGGGAGGACACATCGTTCACCTTCCCAAGAGACGGGCATGGGGGAGCTGGCCCAGGGTTTTCTCCTTTGAGCCTTCTACCAAGCCCACTGCAGACACTGCGGGCTCAACTCTAGATCAACAGGACCCAGCATCCGGCTTCAGTGTTCATTCACCTCCCGCCCACGCTTCTTGAATAGCAATCTGGCAGAAAGAAGAGCATTTCACCTTGGGGGCATTTCATGAGCTCCTCCATATCTTACTTAAAGACTGAATAACATTCCCCTTTCTTTTTCTTTTCCCCCCACTCGCTCCCTCAAATGGTAGTTTGGGAAGAACACTGACCCTGAATTGAAGTTGACCATGCTAGCACGTAGTGTGAGCCAACTTCTGTCTCTGGTTTTTGTTCCAGAGAAGAGTATCACCTGTATACAATTACTGATACCTTTCCTTAAATGGATACATTTCTAATCAGTGGCCAAAGCAACAGTACCTGTCAAATTATGCATTTGTTGCATGAGTTACATATTTTCAATAAATAAAAAAATCATCCAATAAAAGATGGTTTTCCCTGCACCACCGTAAAATGATCTCAGATGCTCCCTCCCCCCATCCCGGCCTTGTACCTGTACCATACTTTGGATTATATTTTAATCTCCAAGTGACCTAATGCAAGGTAAAATTTAGTCAAAGGTCCCAGAGGTCCTGGTGAGCAAACGACCCTTGTGTACAAAATGGGGTTCAACCACTCACCGTGGAGCGAGGTACAGTCTTGGCTTATTTTCTCTTACTGGAGCCATGTGCCCTCTGTAAGTGTTGAATTATCAGAGCCGCCTTGTGTCTCTACCACAGAGTTCCCAAATCCCTGGTTTATAGGGCTTGGGCTGTGATCTTGCTTTACCCCCACACCCTCTTGGTGCTACTGATTTTGGTCATTTCCAGTGACATCAGATGACAATCTTCTTTGTGGCTTGACCAGAATATCCTCCTCAATGTCTATCCCCTCCATCCAGAGAAGCAGGCTCAAGAGACAAGGTGACTAACTCTATTCACAAAGCCATGAAAGGCAACACAGACAAGAATAGTCGAGGACCCACTAAGTTAGAGATGATTTAACTGAAAAAAAAAGCAAAGTCAAGTTGATTAGGCACCGGGGAATTATGTGAGCTCAGTGGTTCTCACACACGGCCGGGCACTGGGAGTTTCCAAAGCTCTCCTGGTGAATCCAATGTGCAGTTGGGGTTAAGAACAAATATCTTCGATTGCATCTGGTCCCTGGAACTTTCTGCAGCTGGGACCCATGGCAGGGGCAAAAGAGGTATTTGTGGGTCTAAGCAGCTCAGAAGGATGAGTCTTTGAGAGGGGCGTATGCATGTTGCGGCCTGGGTATGCAAAGGAAGTTGTGTCTAGAAAGGTACTGATGTAATTGGATCAGAAGACGACTCCAGCTGCAACAGAGGAATACTACTGGCTTGTCTCTACAGGCAGGACTATGTGCTTTCTGTAAGAGTAACCAGTTTTCCTTACTTTCTCTCCACAGTTAGCTGACAAGTGAGGGAACTTAGTGTTTATAAAGGTTGAGCACAAAGCAGTGTGTGGCCTGCGGCAGGGTTCTGTCATTCAACGTGGAGACCAGTGGTTTTCAAGCCTGGGTTTGTAGCCCTTCTAGACACATCCCATGAGCTGGGAGGAGGTGCAGTGAAATTCTCAAAAATAGTTCTCAGGAGAAAAAAAAATTGTTCTCAGAAACTATCATTCTGTGTATCCTATATGCCCTATAGAATAGAATAGAATTTCTGCTGACAGGAAGTGTCAGCAGAATAATCCGTATGCTTTCAAAGCTCCAGAAAAATTGGGAATCGGTGGTGCTTGAGTGTCATTCTAGATCTGTATTTGTCCTAAATCCAGATGGTTGAGGACTTGTCCATCAATCTGGGTAATCTCTAACTTAAGCATCCCAAAGCTAAGAGTTTGCTACTTGATGCATATGCTAGCAGAAGCAGTGGCCAGGGGATCCACAATTCAGCCTCGTAACGGCTTAAGAAATGCTCTATTTTCGACCAGACAGAAAAATAGGGTTAACTTTATTCTTGAAAAATAATGGTCTTGTGTCATTTGTGGCTCGAATTTTTTTCAATTTCAGTATAAACTTGAATTTTAAAACACGTAACTACAGTGAAAACCCTCCTAGTTTTATAGTCACGATGCATTAAAAAATTCTACTTTTTTTGTGTGACCTGAAGAGCTGAGGGTACAAGTAGATTCCTCTAGAACAGAAAGTCTAGGCAGAATTTTTAATGATTTGGTCTATCTGGAATCCAAACTGCTTTTCCCCATTAGCCAAATTCCTCGCTAATGTCCTACAGGGCAGAGGTGAAGGGAAGGGGTGTTTCTTTCCTGAAGAGATGAATTTAACCAAACCTGAGATCTGACACCACCCTGGGTATGAATCATATATCTCACAAATCAAATATGCATGTATTTATGGATGCGTACGTACACACGCATATACCCGCTTATACTATAGGTATACATATATGGATGCATACATACACACATGCATATACCCACATATATTATATGCACATATATATTAATGTACACATACATACATGCATATACCCACATATACTATAGGCATACGTATATGGATGCATACGTACACACATATATACCCACATGTACACACACATATACCCACATGTATACACCTATACACATTCTTGTATAAAACAAGAGCTACAGAGAAAAATGCCAATGATTTTCTCTACCGTGGGCCCTTTGAACAAGCTGTAGACCCTATTAATAGAGTCATTAGCGAGGGGCTTTAAAAATCTTAGTACGAAGGAAGAGAGCTCTCAGGAATTGCTCTGAAACTCATGCCACAAGCCCCTTAAATGCTCAAAAGAAAGAGAGGCAATGACTTGGCATTGTCTAAGAGCTGCAGCAACCAGATGGGAGCGGGGATTCAGAGGAGGCAACCTCCCAGGGGATGCGGCTCAGCCTCCCGGACCTGCTTTGTTGAACACACGCCTGTGCAGAGGTACAGATAGCATACTTGCTCCCTCTTATCTACTCTCTGGGAGTTTATCAGTGAATCAGTGAACTGCCAGATCCACTGTCCATCTTCCCTGAACCACTCTCCCCTTCCGTAAATTCCTCTGCCACTTCGTGGGACATCCTCTAGGTTTATCTCCTGCATCTCTGACTCCGTCTGTACCAATCACTTCATGTACATTCATTCCACAGTGATTTCTGCACGCATTCGGCAAGAGAGGGGCTCAATTACACTATTAAAATAATTTTGTAAGTTTATATTAGGATTTCATTTTAGCCTTTCCAACCACACTGGAATTTCAAATTAAAGGCAAGGACCATGTGTCACACTCCTGAATTGTTCCCTGACGTTAGCTCAGCATCAAACCACTCTGTTTAGTAATCGTGTCTTGGTGGCCTTGATTGACTGTCTACACTTATATGTAAATAACACGTGATGAAGAAGAGATGGCTGGCCCTTTTGATACAAGGACTCATGTGTGTAGCTTGTGTGGTGGAATCAAACCTAATGGAAATGAGACAAATGCCCTTCAATCAATTCCCTTCAACATCATTATCATCACCTGTGGAACTCTTGATGCCAGGTACTGGTCTAGAGCACTTTATATAAATTTATCCACGTAATCACCACTATAACCTACAGTGCTACCATAACTCATTTGATGGAGTAGGATTTTGTAGTGGTGAATATCACCCATATTCCTCCTGGGACTTGAGAATGGCATTTCATATCCATGTCGATGTGGCTCGGTGGCAGAAGTCTGGACTTTCAAACCTAGAAAAGTCTGGATTCGACTATCAGCTTTCTCACATCACTATGTGTCCTTGAGCAAGTCAGCTCTACCATCAAGCTTCGTGAGTATTAGAACTCATTCAGGAGCAGGAAGAACTCAGTACTTGGTAGACACCCAACAAAGGCAGTTATTGTTATTATTATTGTTATTATTTCACAGACTATCTTCCTCTGCACACACAAGTTAAGTTTATTACTTAACCTGGTCTTATGCAAACTTAATGAGAGATAGTCATTTTTAATGGAGGTAAGTATTGGATTAGGGATATGAAGGTAAGTATTGGGTTCGGGATGTGAAGTCCTCCATTTTCATTTTGTTTTCCTGCTAACTCTACGGCCTTGAGCAAATTACAGAATCTTTTTGTTCTTCCAGATTCCACATCTAGTAAAATAATACTTGCTTCTCCTGGCCTCAAGAATATGCCATGAGAATAACTCGTTGAATATTTTTGGATTTCTGAGAAAACGATGCACTATATAAATCCAGAGCAATACTATTATAATTGACCTTTAACAACGGTTATCCAATCCTTGTGCAAGTTCATGTTTCATGCTTGCACATTGTATATAATACAATAATTACTATTTA